TAGAAAATTTTTTCTCCTTTTTTTTTCTTTTGTTGCATTGACATGAATAGACAGTTGAAAAAAGAAGTCCCGAATATAAAAATGCCTTTCTCCTTAAGCATTTTCTGTCAATACTTTATTGTGTGGCATTGCATGATTGTCTATTACTTAATTGACAATTCTGCTTTCGATTATCATTAATTGAATGGTAGCATGTTTTTAAAAAGGTAAAGAATCATTGTTTTTGCTGATGCCAAGGTTAACACTTAACAGGTATATTTATCATTTTAATTTCCAGGGGACTGTACTTTGCTGCACATATACAAGTGGAGTTTTTCCTTTTTCCAAGTACTATTACTCTACCTTGAATCCTAATCCCCGGATCCCTACCGGCAGCTGCAATGGTCAAATATCTATATTGCCATTATTAATCAATCAACCCATAGCTGTAAAATTTTCGTCTGTCTTTGTCAGATCAATTATTGACAGTACATTGATGTTCCCCGAGAATAGAGCGGCTCTGTCCGTTTTCCTTTTTGTATCCTTGACTAAATTTGGTCTGTACCCCGTTACGGATTCAAGGCTAATTTTCTGGGTGTTAACAACAGATACATTTGCCTTAACCTTCGAGAACAAAGAACTAGAAATCGAGCAGCTAGTTCCCTACATCTCTATTGCACCGCCGCAGCGGGGCTACTCCATCTTTGAACTGAGAAATAAGGTCAATGAAAAACTGCAGTCAAGTCATAGCTATGTCAAGCAGCAAGAAAAACTTTAGTTTTCCTATCATTGAACCAGTAGATCAAGGACTCGGGAATTTCCCTGAGAAGTTTTCCTTTTTGTGATTTTGCGGCAGATTTCCATAATGCAACGAGGACATGTCCTCATCATTTGCAGCTCTGACATCAACTAGAAGCAGAGTAGATAAATATGATAAAGAAACACAGATCATAAACCAAAATTAACCTAGAGAGAGCGAAACGAAAAGCTTCAATGTTCCAACAAGACAGTGATGCAAATAACAGAGAAAAACCACCATTTACCTGGGCCTTAACTCCTTAAACCCTTCATCTGAAGAAACCCTAAAATATTTATCGATCCCCTGAGAAAATCTATGGATGCAAATTATTTAAGGACACTGAAGTAATATTTAGCTTTGTCAAAGTGTAAGAGTAAACAGATATTCTTGAAAAAACTAACGAGCAAAATGATCTGGCCGAGATTGGAGCACTTAAACAAGTAAATAATCCAGAAACTTTGCGCTTTGAGTTAGGGTTCATAAGCCAAAAGATTGTGGGATCCGTAACCCTCAAGTCCTAAACCTAATAAACCAAGTGCATATCGAAGCATATTAATGGGCAGAAGAAAAAGAAGGGAGCCGAAGTTCGATCATCGGTCTCAAATCAGAGAAGAAGAAGGAAAAACAAATTGAACTGAAACTTGAAATACAGAGTTTGTATTGGACAAAAAAAGAGTTGGGGATCTTTGAAGGGAAAGAAAATGAACAAAGAAACATGAAGCGTTACAATAATATCATCTGCTTCAGCTGCATTTCGCTCTCAGACTTTCTGCTTTGAGTGGATCATTCTAACCAGTCTAAAAGCCACTTTTAAGTTTGGAAGAGTAGGCGCTAGGCAGGGTTACTAATAAATACACCTTTGAATACTTACTTTCAGAGTACGACTTAACTTTCTCTGGTTCATTAACTGATAAACAAACAGGACTTACTTTGTTGGATCAACTTCTTCCACCTTTCGACTCTTTGCGGTGATGCTAGTAGTAGCTTTTTTCTTACCAAACCCCAGGCATAATCACATCGTAAGGATGAAAAAAGGGGTTAGACAAGTGAAAAACAGTAAAACTTTTGTTTCTAAACTGATCTATTTTATGCTTTAACTGACCTTGATCTGACTTCATCATGCCTTCCAGCCACCACCATGCTGCAGCTCCAGCACTTTTCTCCTGCTTACATGCCCTTGAGAGACTTTTTTCTTTGTTTATAATTATTTTTAATGTGACGTTTGTACCGCAACTGAGCATGGAGTGATCGCACAACTGACGAGGAGCGGCGCTAGTTTTTATGAACCTTGTTTTGTATGTCTCTGATTCTTTAATGGATCTTTCTTATCGGTTATTTCACTTCTTTCTTTGGTTATTTTATTTTAATTTTTTGCCCTTATGAAGCTTTGCCAGGCATAACTTATTGCTTAAATACCACATTTATTGTTTAAAACATGAATTCTTTATAGAAATATATAAGTTGGAGTCATATAATTTATTAGAATAGGAAATCTGAATTGCAAAATATTATCAATTTTATTATTTATTGTTCAAAATAATTAATTATCAAATGATTTTTAAATTAAGCAAGGGATGAGACAATGTCGTTATAGCAAATTTGATATAAAATGCACATTTTTTAAAATGTATTGTTAAAAATATTTTTAATAATATTTTTTATATTTTTTTAATAAATTTGACTACATCATACAATTTTTTTTATTTAAACAAATTTTTTTATTTTATTATCATAAATGCAAAACTTCAACTACAATCAAATGTGTAATCAAAATAGACGAAAAACTAATAAAATTCTGTTGATATAATCAGGCTTAAAAATCAAATTTACATCATAAAATGTTTAATCACGTAATGAACACCCCACTAATAAACCAATAATAAAAAATAACAAGCAATCTATAAATTTGCCAATAACTCATACCATAAATATAAAACAAAATCATCATTACAAACATAAGTCTTGACCCTCTTGAGAATCTTCGATAGCAAAACACAGTAAAAGCAAACTGCAGGATACCAACAACTTCGAAAGTCTTCAAAAGCAGAATAAATCAGTCATAAAAATATCCACAACTCAACATATCCAAATTAACAATATTTATTGCTATTAAATATAAAAAAAGGGTAATTGAAAATTTAAAATAACTATATCAAATTTTTAAGATCACACAACGTATATATTAATATATATTACCATGAAAAATATGATTAGTTAATTATATCTATTAATTCCATGCAATCTCATTACCCTATTATAAAATTAATTATCATAATTAATACAGAGGAAGAAAAAACCTTTCAAAACTCCATTCCTTTTTTGGTGGAAATTGCTTTATTAATTATCTTTCAAACAACAAATCAAATTTCCTACTATTAACTTTATATATATATATATATATTATTTTCAATGGCCTCACTGATGATCCCATGGATTATAGAAGTCAACAACAAAGGACAGAATGAATACGACGCCGTACGTATTCGTATTGTAGCCTTTTCCCCATGTTCATTTATTCCTAGGCATTTGGCAACAGCATGATGTCCCACTCCCACTTAAACATCAAAACTTCTGATTAAGGAAATTTTTTTATAAAATAATCATCAATAGTTCTGACAGTGCATGTTGGATAGATCATAGACAGTTAGTTTGTTCATTCTGATCCTCTATTAGTTGTATCGATTAGTAATTCAATGAAAAAAAAATTGCATATTTGTACCCTAATTTAAGAGTTGAAATAATTTATTTATTTTTAAAATTATGTTAAAATAAAAAAAATTGATTTCATTATTTTATGGCATCTAATGACTAAATTCACACAACAAGATTTTTGGGACATAATTTTAAAATTGTGGATGAAAGCATATTGTTTACTTATGATTAGCCTTTTTATTAAATTTTTTGTGTACTTTTGTAGTACATAATTATCATTTTACTTTGAGACATTTTGAGAAAAATAAGGATCAAGATTTATAAATACTCAATAATAAATAAATTTATAAATTAAAAGTCTAAAAAATAAATATTTTGTTGGTATATACTATCTATACATTGACAATATACCACATATACACTCTTATAATTAACATGTTTAATTTTGATTTTACTCCGGATTTCTTATTCTAACTTTAATCAGTTTGTAATAACTTCTGTGATTTGTCGTTAGTAATTACGTTTAGATTAATTAGATGTAGAATTTTTTTTTGCAAATTGCAGTAAGTGTTTACAGTTTACTTGTTTATTGGAATAGAAACTTAGTTGGTGTTTAATAATTTTGATGGGACAATTAAAAGCAACTGACAGTGACAGCGCCACCAATAACAAGGAGTTGCTTGCCGATTTCAAGACATCTGCATCGCTTCGCTGCTAGCGGAGCAGCAACTAAGTCTAATACCATCTCATCTAACCTATATAAATACTATCTAATCCTTTTCTTATTATTTTCCTTTTTTTTCTTTTAGAATTCGGATTATAATTATTACGAATCATAGTAATACACCTCGAGTCGAATTTGAACTGAATTATTTTAGATAATTTTTTAAAATATTTTTAGTGAAACTTGACATAATATTTGAAAACTTTTTTAAATTAATTTAAAAAAATTAAATAAATATTTATTTTTTATTATATTTGATTAAATTTTATTAAACTTTTATATTTTTTTAAATAAATAAATTATTATTATTAATCAAAATATCATTAATTATATATATCACATTAATATATTATATGATTATATTATCATATCATATTAATATATCATATTATTCATGATAACAAATCAACGATTAATAATAAAAATTTGAATGATTTTAAAATTCACTATGAATTATTTATGTTCCAATTGTACAGTTTTATAAAATCAAATCAAATTGTATTGTCAATTAATTATTCAGATCATTGTGAATTTTAAATCAATTCAAATTCAGATAATTTTACATTCAAATTATTTTTAAATACACATTATTAAAATTTTCAATCAAATCGAATTTAGATTTAAACAAATCAAAAGAATTTTTCGAATTTGGATCCACTATATCGGTTCCAAATTCTGAATATTCATGACAGGGACGACAACAACAACGTTGTTCAGCTCGTTTCAACGTAACACAATGTCCTTTGGACTGGAGAGAAAGATAAGTTTACGGCGACAGATGTTTATTTAGTAAATAATATACTTATCGAAAATGAAACTTTAAGACAAAAAAGGAGAAACAGTTGATGAGGTGGCAACTGGCAGACAATGCTGCCAAGGACAATCCGATAATAATAACAGCATGATGCGGTTTTCAGTTGTTTAAGAGTCCTTGGCTGTGCCCTATAAAGACTTCAATAATAGAACAAGTACGAGAAACACGACACAAACAAGAAAGTAACAACTAACCAACCGTTGCCTTCGTTTTTACATGATTGAGATCCGAGGAGAGGATTCTTGTCCCAGTTCTAGACTTCTACTACGTTCTATGCAAATAGGTTTGCTAGGTTCATACGCATGCGTCAGGTACTTCTCGGGTTTTTCACAGGTTTTTTCCGTTGTACTAAACGACAGAGTTGCAGCTCCTCAACAGTTTTATTTTGTATATGGAAGTAAATTTTTCTTACCAACACCATGGGTTGGCTCTAAGCTACCAAATGGATCCCGTTAGCTGTATGATGTGAAAATATTAGGCATATCTTACAGTAGAATACATGATTACAACATGTATCAAATACATATAAAATGCTTAAGTCACAATATATATATACACCAGTAAAGTGGAGAAGTTGATTCAAAATCCATACAAACTCGTTACCAGAACAGAAGAGCAAAATCGTGGTACTAGATGTAGAAAGATTGTCTCATTTCAACACACTGCAGCAAAGAATAGTGGATCTCAAATGTATGGTAGTAGTAATAATTTAAACTGAACAAAAAAGCAAGTTAAAAGATAAGACGAGTGGAGTGGCGTAGAACCACAATGAGAGGAGCAGAGGTGTAAAATCATCTTGGTGAAGTTAAAGAATGGTGGTCAATATATCGAGGAATTCCCTTCTGAATCAGCTAAGAACCCTCGAGCAGTTGGAGTTTTAAAATGGGGGGAAAAGATATTGTAGCCAATCCCAAACAGTTTGCAATGATTTTAGTTGAGCTTAGTGGGGGTATATGAGAAGCAACTATGCAAATATATCAGCAACAATTTAATCAGTGAAGTTTTGTCTCAGAAACAAATTGCACTGTGCAATACTCAACGCAAAAGTTCAAGTCAAATTAGGAAACTTACTTGTACAAATAAGCAGCAATACCAAGAATTATGCACAAGAGGATGATATCAATGCAAAAGTTGCGGCTTGACCTCAGCTGAACAGATCAAAATAAACATGGCGGAAATTAGGGAAGAGATAGAAATCAGCTTCCATCCAAAAGCAAAATATGAAAGACAATCCAAATTACCTGGTTAACAGTATCCTTAAGTCTCACATTCGTGCTTTTCAGATCAGAGGCTGCCCTATCCACCTGGAAGATATCAAAAACAGTGTTAATATTGAACTTCTAATCTGCATAAACTTTCAGATGAAGAAAGATAATGTTCTAAACCTTATCTTTTTCACCTCACAAAGACCAAACATCAATAACTAGTTACTAATAATTAGATTTTAAAACACTAAAGACGATGCAAATAGCGGCTATAATGTTATTTTCTGACATAAATTGTCAGGATACTAGCAATTGATAATTTGTACATGTTCATGACGAGCAAAGAAGGAGATCGAGAGGCAGATAACTTAAAAAAGAAAATCACCTTCTCATCTATTTCATCCATCATTGGTACTTGTCTGTCTAATTCCTGCCAAGAGGAAAAATAGCATCTTTAAAACAATAATGAGCAAAAGAACTACAATGAGATCTTAGTGTTTAACAATTTATACCACAAGTAAATACACAATATCATGAAAACTAACCTCATTCATATCATGAGCCATGTCTTTCAACGTGTCCAAACCTTCTGCTATAACCTCCAAACCTTGATCCTACATAAAAGAATAATCCCCAAAACATCGCGGCAATCAGCGTTGTGAATGATAACATAATAGAACAGGGAGACAGAGCATTTGGAATAGCAAGCGAAGAAAAGTAAAAATCTCACAGCAATGATAAGGCAAACAATAACAGCAACGAAAACAATTCCTACCTGTTTCATTCTGCGCATTTCATACTCTTGCCTGAAGCGGTCAGACTCTTCAGTCTGTTGAAAGTACTCACTTTCGAATGCCCCATCTATTCGCAACATTAAGACTGTTTGATCAAAGGCCTCTTGACATAACAATAATCCAATAAATAAATGATTATTACCTGAAGATGAGTCAATTTTAATGCCAGTGTAAGAAGATGAAGCTGCCCAACCCCCACTAACACCACCACTTTGCTTGGCTGCAGCTGTTGATCCATCCGGTATTGCTTCAATCCTATCTTTCAGTGAACAAACCAAATCGTTCCGAGCTTCAAGCTCTTCTCTTGAAAGCCCCTTTACCTAAACCCCAAAGATTAATACTACCAGTTTACAACATAATTGCTACTAAGGTAATCAATTAGAAACTTTGAAAACTAATCAAGCCAAAAAAAAAAGAAAAAACAGAGAAGGAAAGACCTTTTTGAGAGCTAGTCGTTGTAATTTGGGGAGTTCTTCAAGCAGTCGAGCTTTTGTTCTACGAATTTCCGCATTCATAGCAACCGCCGTAGCCCTGTTCTTTTCCGTTGCAGCAGCTTCCGATTTCTACGGGATTTTTTAATTATTAACAAAAAAAAAAACAAAATAAGCAGTAAATTTTTTTGTTCTTCGTCACCGAGAAAACAAAAACGCAGCAACTTTAAACATATATGGAAAAACCACGGAGAAGGGAGAGGAAGAAGAGTTACACCTGGAGAGCGGCATCGATTTCGGACTCAACGACGCCGTAAAGGCGGGCGAAAGAGTCATCGCCGGTGACGTTGGCCTCTTTTTGCTTATCGATATCGTACTTTTCGTATTTCTTGCAAATAGCGTCGACTCTCGTGATCAAGTCTATCACCGTCATCTCCCTTCTTTCTCTCTAAATTCCACCGTTTCTCTCCCTCTCTCTTCCCTTTCTCTCTGTGGAAGTTCCTTTTACTCTCCGCGCGGAGATTCTGTTTCTTTCAGTTTTTGTTTTTGGAGTTTTTAAGTTAAGAGAGAGACAAACGGAGACGGAGCCAGAGAGAGTCAAAAGAAAAAAGGGCAGAAACGAAACGAATGTCTCAATGCTTTTGCGTTTTATCCGTTGGATTCTTTCCAAGTTGAATTTAAGCGGATCTGACGGTTAAGAGACATGGATTTCAATAAGCTCGGTTACAGAGGATTCCCTCTCGATTCCCCGGGGAACAGACAAGACACGTATAAAGTGAAAGGTCCAAGCTTTCCATCTTCTTCAAGATTTTTACTGGACAGGCTCGGTAAGATACCAAAGATTTTCACATTCACTTCGCTGTAATTCGTTTGATTCAAGCTTTTAACTGAACATAAAGCAGAGTCACGATGATGAATTAGTGTTGTAATATTAAGCTTGCGTCAAGGTAATAAGCAAGAAGACGAAGTGGAGTTAGGAGATTTTCTTTAATTCAGAAGGAAGGCTTTTGAATGAAGGAAAAAGTTTGACAGCAAGGCAACCGTTAAAAGAAAGTTAAGATCACATCAAACTCTTTGTTTTTCTAATTAAATAAACAAGTTTGGTTTAGCTTACGTGTGTTCGCAACATAAAAAGAAGTCCAAAATGATCTAATCTCTGTTGGGTTTTGAGTATTTTAAGTCCGTCTTAAATTTGCTTTCTCCTGGTTCAATTCTTTCGCCTTTCTAGAACGAAGGGCAAACAGTTCCTTTGAACCAGGTGGCGCGTTTCTGCACGTTCTTCTTTCTCGAGCGTGGCCTTGTTTTCTATCTCCCTTGCTTATATTGACTCGCACGACGGCAGCAGTCAATGAATGGCCATTAAAGAAAAAAAAGGAAAATCCATGTCCATTGTCTCCATATATAAATCTTTTCTCAATATCTTTTTTTGGCACCACTAATTGAAAAAGCTTTATGCTTTTAATTCCTTTATGAATTATCTCTTTAAATTACCTCTAAGAATCACCCCAAACATGGCAGAAAGTTCGATTCTTTGCTTGGTTTCGAGCTTGATTCTAAGTCTTTTTACTCTCTTTTCGTGGTTTTTTGGGCACTGCAATTCAGTTGAGCAACTTGGTGGATATGACACTTTCACTATATCAAGCTTCAAATACCCAGAAACGCAGATCAGACCTTTTGATATGCGTTATGTAAGAGGTACGAAAAACTAATTTTATGGTCTTTTTGATTGTTCAATTGTCATTATCGTTAATCTACTGAGTGTTTTCTTTTTTTTGTTGATTATGGACTGCTCTGATTAATGGGTAGTTGTCAAAATTTTAACTTTACTAATAAATGCATGAAATATTTTCCTGAGATTCGACTGCTGTTTCGATTTTGTGCATCGTATTGTCAATTTTTTTAATCTGAATTGTCTATTTTAATAATGAAAGCAAGATGCTAGAAATTTTCCTGGTCAAATTTGATTATTTATTTATTTACTCAAGTATTAAATGTAACACTGTTTCAGCGGTCGAATGTGAATTAGTAGTAATAATGACATGGTTTAGAACTATGGAGCTTGAACGTGTTTCTTTCTGAAATGAGATTAGACTGCTTTCCTATCATGGAAAGCTCGACAGTCTTGTTTCCCTGGAAGTGTCATTTCCCGCTACCTGTAAGCAAGAAAGAAGGAAATGTTTGTAGATATTTTGCGCTGTTTTGGGTCAAGTCTTTTGTTATTTGGAAAATGGGAAAGGTTCAGACAGAATGGTGATGAATTAGATTTTATTATTTTTTGAATCATTTTATTGTGTAATGTCTCAATGGGTTTACTGTTCGCCTTGTCTCAGTTGATTTACCACCATGGTTCTCTTCAATGTCGATATCGTTGAAGTCAAGTGTTGATCTTGTAAGTATGCTTATTAAAGTTAGTTAAGTTTTTAGGGTATCAGCTTTTCTATTATGCTGATTCTTGAACTCAAATTTCTTTTGTTTGTTCATACTACATATCTACTCCTTTCTTGACACGTATCATGGATAATTGTTCCACACACTGTCTGGAGTTTAGACATTTTGTCAATCATTAGTTTTCCCCATCACTTTTGCTTATGCTTCGTACTTTTGCAGGATATAGAAAGCATTGAAAGAGTTCCTAAAAGTATGCTGCCGATGATATGCTTCAGAGATGGCAGCCTCCCATTACCAGATGTCTCAAACACTTCATTTAAAGGTAAACTGCAAGCAAATATAAGATATTCTTTTCTTCTTTTAATAGCTGGCATCCTGAATATGAATGAATCTAGCAGTTTTAGAGATTTTCTCTTGTTGCAGCACTAGTTGCACTATCCAATGGATCTTTCGATGGATTAAAGGTACTTCAAAATACAGAGCAGTGCTATCCTGTACCCAAAAATATGACAATAAAGTTGACGAATGAGCAGGTATGCTATCATTATCGAATGTATATTATGTGGAAGAAATGTCATTCCATCTGTTCTTAAAAAACATGGATTTTTGTGTAATTTGTTTATCTGAATTCTTAGGTAAGTGTTACACCAAATCATCCATTTGGCATATTTTGACCCAGAATCAAGGTGGGTCATGAGTCAGGGGTGGGGAGTGTGGGGTAAAATGTTTAGTTTGGTGCATGGATTATTTCAAGAAATATATTATTTTTAGAAATTCAATTGCTGGCATTGTAACTTAAAATTCTGTGGATCAGATATCTGCTGGGGTTTTGTATTTTGGTCTTTTCAATGGTGTTGGGCCTACAAGAACACAGTCGAAGATGGTAAGACTACTAGCTAGCTCCACTATTTTGCACCTTCTTCACCACTTGCTCCATCATTTAGTTTCACATTTGTGTTTAGTGCTTTTATGCAGTTCTCCCCCACTTCATGTGGTTAAGCAATTTATTGGCTGAGCATATATAACTGTGTTGAGTAATTCACTTTAGAGGAAAATATCTGGGTTTCCTTTACTCCTGGAATCCTTTGTAAAAAGGACAAATAAAGATGCCTGTAAACTCCTAAAGAATCACATATAAAACTATGTTGATAGATGGATATTCTAATGGTAACATCTGCATGAAAGAAACTTGTTAGTTGGTTACTATTAGGTGATATCCAACATTGGTTTGTGATGCCACATAACAAGTTTTCTCAGCAGAAAGAATACCTTGCATGTATTTAAACTGGTGCGAAATGTTCTAGAAAACACTGAAATTCTTGTTTGAAGTTTATTTCTTGAAGAATTGGTTTGCTTTTGCTCCTGTTTGTTTCATTCTTGCTATGTTTTCTGGTTCTTCCCTGTCTGCTTATCCTCGTCAAGGAGAGGTTTTGGTATGTCTGTTCCTGGCAGTCAACTAGAAATTGAATTTAGAGCTACTGCTCTGGATTGCAGATTGTTCGAGGCCCTGCTTACTCCTTTGCAGCCAATATTAGTGTGGAAGGATGTACGACCTCAACAATGCAGGGACAATATTGCAACCAAACTGTTGACCTGCTTTCATGTGGTCGATCTGGCAGCTACAATAGTTCTGGAAATCTTTCAGTGTCGGGGTTCCACAATCAAAGCATGGTTTCTTGCAGGAACAATTTTGATACCTCTTGCCATGGAGCTGGAGAAATGAAAATATACTCCTTAGAGATACTACGGATGGCTGAATTGTTAACCATTTCGGTAAAAAATGTAAGGTTAAGACCTCTGAATAGCAGTGGGAATAGTAGCGGAATTGACGTAATGTGCTTTGCTCGTTATGGTGCAATGCCTTCAGCGACTCTACATGATTATTCTGGTAACTTAAATAAATCTCCTTTGGTTATTCACTCCCCAAAGGTTGGTCGTTTGTATATTTCTATTCTACCCCTTAATCTTTCAAAGGAAATTGGATTGGCCCAAGGTAATGCTTCAACAGTTTGCTATTCCCTGGAACTGCAAGCGCTTGAATGTCCTTTGGGGAAGGCTGGGCCAGCCTGTTCATCCGAAAGATACATGCTTCAGGTGGGCATTGTCAATGAATGTGTATTCTCTGTATCACTTCTTTATTTTGCATTATACTCTGGTGTTTGTTATGTACTAGTTTTATATTTTGGTGCTATTACAAAATTATCTGCCTATGTGAAATTCAATACGTTAATTAATATGTACCTGTTCTCATTTGTGAGGATAAAGTAGATATCAGGTTTAGTAAAAAAGAGATAAACAATTTACTTGCTTGTTAGTGGTGACACAGAAACTGACACAAAATTATGGATGAGAAGATGACAGTAGGAATTTCATCTGTGGGTGACTGGGCACACATCTTGACAATCTTGTCTCAAGGACACATGTAAAGCCTTCCTGGAGGAATTATTGCCAAGAAAAGTAATCATTTTGAAGCAAAAAGGGGCCAAATTTGGTTTATAAATTTTACTTTTGGAGATCTCACTTATACATCGAGCAATAGGATGCAACCATAGATTTCTGATCTTGATTTTAACTTTTTTATATTAGATTTATGAACAGATTATTCTTGCACTATCTTTTCTTCCTGTAGATACTTTAAGAAACCCATTCGCAGGAATAATTTATTGACAAGCTGAGAATGGTTGTCTGCAGACAGTTCTTAGGAAAGATTCCACGCCTTTTGAATCCTATTATTTGCCAGATGGTCAGAAAGTGATGTCAGATGCTGCCAATTTTCTTCTTGAGCCCCTTTTAAGCAACTACACATATGGAGAAGGAGTAATAGATATCTGGACTTATTTTCTTCTAGATGTTCCTCGCGGTGCAGCTGGTGGAAATCTCCATGTCCGGCTGACATCAGATAGAAAGATAAATTATGAAATATATGCTAGAAATGGTGGATTGCCATCACTTGATAACTGGGACTATTATTATGTAAACAAGACAAGCAGCAGTCATGGCTCCATGTTTTTTGTATTGTACCATTCAAGTGAAGAGAAGGTTGATTTTTACATCTTATACGTTAGAGAAGGAATCTGGAATATTGCATTAAGGCATCTATACAACCCAGGTGGCACTTCTGATGGGCAGGCTACTATGTCTATTTCACTTGAAAGATGCCCAAAAAGATGCTCCTACCATGGTGATTGCAGATCTGCTCTTGATGCGAGTGGGTTAACATCATACAGGTATTATGTTTTTCAGCCCTCCCCTTCTTTTATTATATATTTTTTATCTAATTTTCCTATATTTGGAAATTTCTATCCCCGTTAGATTCTGATGGCATAAAATTCTTGTTTAAGGATGAGTTGAAGGTTTAAATGAATTTCTCATTGTCTTGTAACTGTTTCATTTCTGTCTCTCAGCTTTGTGCTTGTGATCGGAACCATGGAGGTTTTGACTGTAGCATTCAGATAGTATCACATCAAGGTAAATGCTTTTTAGGAGTTGAATGCAAAATATCACTGCCATCCCTGCCACTGTTTTTCATCAATTGTTTGTTTATGGTTCCAAATAGCTACTTACTTTCTCTTTGTAGGCACAGATATCTATTGCTCCCTGCCATTTTTATTAACCAAAAGTGCCTCAAAGAACCCACAATTTCAAGCACTAGTTTGGGAAAATATTTAGACTGTATATCTACTTAATGTAGTATTTTTTTTTTCTTTTAATATTTTGGCGGGGGATTGGGGGGGGGGGGGGGGGGGGGGGTGTGGGGTGTTCGTAAGGCTTTATCATAGTCTGAGTCTATGACCAACTTAAATTTATGATGAGGAGCTATAAGCTGTCATATGAGGTCAAGAGCACCTAAAAATTGCATATCCTTTGAGATGGTCTTGGCACAGTGTTGCTTAAGGAGAGGTTTATTTGCATTTGAAATGATTCCAGGACTTGGTATTATGTAATGCTATGAAATCAAATTTAGCCAATCCTCTACTTGGAAACTGATGCAGGTCACATATGGCAATCAATTGCTTTAATTGCATCAAATGGTGCAGCGGTGCTTCCTGCTTTTTGGGCTCTCCGACAGAAGGTAAAGCTCCATTTCTGTCATGGACTCACTTGCAGATCATTCTGTGATTTCCATATTTAGTCAAAAGTTTAATTTGTTATATGCAGGCATTTGCAGAATGGGTGCTCTTCACAGCGAGTGGAATTTCTAGTGGATTATATCACGCATGTGATGTGGGCACCTGGTGTGCATTATCCTTTGGTGTCTTACAGGTATATGTTAGTCCAATTTATTTTTTTTTTCTGAAAAGGATGACGGTATTCATCATGATAAACTTTAGAAAAAGCACAGGGGAAGTACATGATGGAAAACATGAAATCCAACTTTTATAACATGCAGCGCCTACATTTGCGTCTCCTTGTTGCTAAAGTTCTCTTATCATTTTTCAGTTACTAGTTCTTTGAACTAATATTGACTAGTCAATTGGGAAATGTTTCAGTTTATGGACTTCTGGCTCTCCTTCATGGCTGTGGTGAGCACCTTTGTATACCTCACTACAATTGATGAAGTTTTTAAAAGGACAATCCACACAGTTGTGGCTATCCTTACTGCCCTCATGGCCATAACTAAGGCAACCAGGTATATAGATCTGGTGACATTTATGTTATTTTGAATTTACGACCCTCTTCTAACTGTTATGGCAGGTGTTTGACCAAGCTAAGTTGTGCAGATCATCCAATATTATTCTTGTGATGGGAATTGGAGCACTTGGACTTTTTGTTGGGTGGTTGATAGAGTTCTCTACGAAGTATAGGTCACTTTCCTTTTCAATGGGATTATGTTTAAATAGGCTTGAGAGGTGAGTTTCTCTTCTGTACCATAATGAAGTTTGATGTAGAATTTTATTCTTGTGGCTCCCAATGCAAATAAATGCAATTTAAAAAATGCACACTTGGGATTTTATACACTAGCACACCTACTGCCTTTAGTTTTTTGTAAGTAGTACCATGAGAGTTGTTAAATCGTTTTTTTTATTCAGTTTTTAATTATTTTGCTGACTATGCCTTGAGCTGGTCAAGGATACCATTGCTAGTATTCTGATTTAGCATCTAATATTTAAGTGCATGATTTCACCTGAAAGCTAATATTCTAAGATACACAGGAAACCATGCTTTGTCATTAGAGAAGTTAATTGTCGACGGAAAACATTACCCTATACTCAGAATTATTAACATCATAGAAGCACAACATGGTAGATAGATTTGTCAACTAACAGTAATCAAAGATAATGCATTAGTAATTACTGGATAAATTATTAACCTTTCTCTTCCAAGAAACCTGAGTATGTATTTTAACTGTAGATGGCAGATCAGAGATTGGCTGCAGAATCTTGTAAAGACTGTATTGAAACGATTTCGATGGGGTTTTGTTCTAGCTGGTTTTACTGCACTAGCCATGGCAGCAATAAGCTGGAAACTGGAAACCAGTCAAAACTACTGGATTTGGCACAGGTTGGATCTCCCCCTCCTTTTTGGTGTATAAAATTGTTTTGATCTCTCTCTCTCTCTCCAATGTTTGACTCATAAAATTTTAATGCAGTGTTTGGCATGTCACTGTATATTCATCTTCTTTCTTCTTCCTCTGTTCAAAAGTCACTGCCATTAATAGTGGGAATGAAGGACCCTCGACTGGAAACTATCAGTTGACTCGGCAAGATTCTATCTCAAGAGGTGCATAGGCCTTCTCATGGAATTAAAGTTCAAATACGAAGGAAATAAGTTATTATGAAGACATGCAGGGAAAGTAGTTTGTACAACCAAGATAAGACTTGATGGCTTCAACAGCTTGTGTAAAATTTGCCTTTTCCCACCTTTATGCGGTGGTGTCTTTTCCTTTTGTATATATATATATATACACCAATTGATAGAAAAATGAATTGAGGCAGGATAGAAATGTGACCCAAAACCTTTTAGCCTTTAGGGGGCTGCAGAGCAAAGTGTGAGGAGAAAGATGCAGTTGTTTCCATCATGTAACTGTAAAAAATACTTCAATGGTTTTCAACATTTTTCCTGTTGATAATGGAAGTACCTTAGATTTTATAATCTTGTGAGCTTGATGGCTGAATGGATACAGGATGAACATGTGATAAATACAGCACTTTTCATATTAAAAGCCATTTCCCAGAAAGAAAAATAAGGCATTAACTGCAGTCATATGCTTTCTCCAGACCATGGTCGAAACCTGCAGGCATTAACTGTGCAATCCCAACCATTTGATCATGGTGAGTAAAGGGGGCAATTATCAAGAGATTCATTAATAAATCCATGGGTATCCAAATTCCAATATCCGACAGCTTTAGCCTTGGCTATTCAATACTAGCATTCAACAATAATTTTCCAATGAATGAAATACACTATCTTCATGAATGTTGCCTGCTTACGCATGAAAACTAAATCAAAATTCATCAATCAAACATGAAATACAAAGTACAAGAGTTCAATAATCAACAAATTGAATTTCCTATACACAAGCCAAACCTCAGCAAACACATTTCCTGCAAAAACTTAAGCTCCCTTAAGGCCTAAGAATCATCTTGGCATATGCACTTACTTGAAAATTATTGGCTTCCTTGTGCCTTGTTGCTAGCACATTCTCAATTGGTTGATCCTCAAGGCAGGCAGGTCGCTCTATTTCTTCTCTACATATTTGTACCTTGCAGATTTAGCTTTAAAAACAGTGATACAACAAGCAACAATTTGTACGTTGTATCTAAGTTGGCCCTTTGTTTAGTTTTCTCTAACTGAAGCACTCCTTTGGGAATTTGATGAAAGAGAGCGAATGTCAAAAGCTGATTGTTCTCTATAATCCTTACGGATGCTCCATAGGACCTCTCCACACCTCCTCATACTAGGCCGGCTCTGTCTACGGGGAGCCAGGCATTGCAAGGCTAGTTCAAGAATCTTTTCAAGGGCTAAGTTGGTCCCAGCAGTCAGTTCTAGCTTAGGGTCCAAGGCTGAAATGGCATCACCATCATTAAACTTCTTGATTGCCTGCAATTGAAAAACATGTCAGTAGACTAGATAGATAATAACCATCTTTTCTTATAAAAAAAAGGAAAACAAACTAATTGCCACCCTCCGATTTTTTTTTTCCTTTATGTAGGTCATTTTTCAACACAATCTGAGTAAGGCTTCATTCATGAAGGTAGTTATACTTCTTCCAACTAGACAAAAGGGATGAATTACGGCATACATGTCATTAACTCCATAGAAATGTTACTATACAAAATTGAGTGACTGGTAGTAAGTATTAATATGAGCAAGGAGAGAACAGAAAGAAGATCACACCCATTTTGCTGTTATCCGCTCCCTGAGTTCCTGTTTTGGTTCAATGGGGCGCCTTCCTGTGACTAGTTCAACCAATAACACTCCAAATGAATAAACATCACTCTTTTCTGTAAGTTGATAGGTCCTCAGGTATTCTGGATCTAGGTAGCCAGCAGTTCCTTTAACCTGCGTAGACACATGGGTTGCACCAGAATCTGTGTCAGCAGCCATCCTAGCAAAACCAAAATCAGCAACCTTGGCCCGTAACTTTTCAGTAAGGAGAATGTTGGACGACTTTATGTCTCGGTGAATGATCGGGTGATCTACATAGAATTCAATGCATCGTCTAATTAATCTCTCCCCCAACTTTTCCTCAAAGAACTGCAAAGCTCTTATTTTCTATGAAAATTCAAAAGCAAACCTGTATACATATGAAGATAGGTGATTGCATGGGCCACATCAATAGCTATATCTAATCGTGAAGCAAGGTCAAGAACTTTCCCCTGCACACCTGAAGCAAATTTTCTCTTGTTTCAAGCCTCAAAATTCCATCATAAAGGGCAAAAACAAAAGAACCCAAAGAAGAGTGGACCAGAATAATACAAACTTACCATCCAAGTGTTCCCTAAGAGTTCCATTAGGCACATACTCCACGACAACAATTCTTTCATCTCCATGCTCTAAATAACCATAGAACTTAACCAAATTCAAATGTTCCACTTGTGCCAGTGTTTTTATCTCACTTTGGAATTCCACACCCAAATGCTTATCATATACACTCTACAAACAAACAAAAAGTTGATCAACGACATAGTTTGGCTAAGCCCATATACAAGTTATGACCAAAGACAGAAACAAACTAATTCGAGTAACTTCCATAGTTTCAAATTCAACCTTTTTAGCACGCTTGATTGCAACAAAGGTTCCATCATCAAGTCTCCCTTTATAAACCGTCCCAAATCCACCCTGTCCAACCTTGAAAGCAGGGGAGAAGTTCCTCGTGGCCTTGAAGATCTCCTCCATTGTGAATGTCATGCTCCCGGGCGCTCTCTCCTTTGTAGAATTGGAATAGATTCCTCGATTCGATTCCCTCCTCTCGCTCTTCGTTCCCGACGTGTCCGATGCAACTACAAATTAAACAATTGAGGTTTACATGATTTAAACTCATCTCTTTCATTTTTCTAATTTAATTTTCTTTGTTATCTGTTACATTAATGGAAAGTAGATTAACAGTGTAGCTTTCATTAGTGTCATTATCCATGATTCAATTCTTTGAACAGAAAACTTACAATTAATTCTACAATAATTAAATTCTTTGTAAAATAGATCAATGAAAAAAATTGGGAGTTCTTTTTCTTTACTCCCGAAGTTTGAATAAATAACTAGTAGCAGAGCCGGCAGGTTGTTTGGTTGCCGAGAAAATGTCAAAACAGAAAAAGTCCCAGTAAGAGAAAATAACCAAAAACAACATTCACATAAAAAACAACAACAAACAGACAAAGACTAAAGACTTGTCTATAGTCAAATGACACGTAAAAACTCTTGATTTTTACCGTTTTCTCAGATCCGAGGGCGGAAACTCGAACTCAGCAAAAGTTTTACAAGAGAACTACTTGCTTAAAATCCAACTAAAAAAAAGAGCTGTCTTTGCCACGAAATCATCGTTTGAAACTATAAGGAGATGGAGAACATACCGGAAGGAGCTCCGGACTCATCGGACACTCCAAAATTCTTGCTGTCGGCTGTCTCGGGAGGTGTAAAACACGCGACGAAAGCTCCAGCAAGGGACCGGGCGGCAACCGTTACTGGATTACGGCCTGAACCGGATTTCCGAGAAGCAGATGATTCAGAGTACGACGGGCTAGGAGAGTAAGCGAATCGGTCCGGCGTTGACCGTACGCCGGAGCTATGGTTCCGGCTTCTTGAGCTGGAGGTGGTGGAGCTAGTCATCACGAGAGAGAAAGGATAGAGAAAAAACAGTGGGCACGTACTGACGTAGAAATGGCGGGTAGTTGGGAGGTGGGGAAATAATGAGAAGACTTTGTTTTTTGTTCTGCAAAGATGGGTGAAGCTAACGTGCACCCCTTATGTTGCCTTCGTTAACTGGCACTTTATGTTAGAGGATTCTGTGACATGACACCATTCCCCCCGCCGATCGGGTAAACATATATCTTTGCTTTCCAACTAAGTAGTTGGATTAACGTGTCTTGTCTTATCTTGGCTAAGGTTTTCCATTTTTCCACGCAAAAAAGTAAAAGTAGTTTACTTTTATTACCCTAGATTTTTAGAAACTTAATTAAAATTACCATGACTTAGTTTCTAAGGATAGAAATGATCAAAGCATATCATAAATTCATAATATTTTTTTTATAAAAAAGCTTATACTGATAGAAATTTTTTGTTAATTTGAAATAGATGGAATTGACAAATGAATGGACCATGTATACTTGCATAACTTAACTTAATTTATACACTCGAGTATTTGATTAATCGATTGATGTATAATCTTCTTCTTTAAAAAATAGGGTTTGAATTTCTCATTTCTCAATTATAAAAAAAAAACTTAACTTGATTTATGAATATTTAAAAAGCTTTTTAAATAAGTAGTGATTATTTTATTTGAAATTGTAATACCGTCTCAATCTTTTTTTTTCTTATCTTTATTTGATTTTCTCAAAAATCAAAACAAAGAATTTGATTTTGATATATTTTACATTAAAAAATTTAAAATTTTTAATAATGTAATAAATAAGAATATTAAATGTCTAAAATATAAAAAAATTATTTAAGGACATTCAAAAAAAAATGAAAAAAAATAAAAAAGTAATATTTTTAAGATAAAATTTTTAAAAATATAATATTTTAATTAAAATATTTAACTCATTGATTGATGTATGATCTTTTTATTTAATTAATAAAATTTAAATTTCTTTTTTTTTTTTAATTAAAATAAATAAAATAAAATTAAACATAATAATTTACTAATTCATTTTGATTTGATTTATTAAAGAAATTATAAAACTTTTCTTAAATTAATGATTGTAGAGTCCAAATTTATAATTGGGCAAAAAGAAATCCGTGGCGGTGGAAGTGTATTTTTTAGGGTCAAAGTCAAGCATTACTCGAAAGAAGGTGCTTTATATAAACAAATACAGTCCTTACAAATTAACAAGACAAAGACAAGATAGCCACGGGTAAACGGTGAATTGACAAGTGTAAGTCGATGGAAACGGCCAACAAGTTCTTGACTTTGCCGTTAAGTCAAATGTCAAAATCAAACCAAGTTTTCCCACCAAAAAACTGAACTAGAGATTACAATCAACGGTAGGTTTCAGCAGGGATTCTTGCAAACTACTGCTACTTGAAAACAGCAACCTCGGAACAACAATGGAGGTTGGCAGGTATCCCAGCTTAAACTGACCCACAACTCAAACCGCATTAACATTGATTGAAGACCTTCCACTTCATGTCTGCAGATATAAGGCAGCATAATACGACACAATCAACGTCAGGAACAAACATTCCCAACCAACCATTGAGCTTTAATCTGCTTGCGGGTGTAAATGGTTTTCGTAAATCCAGAATGAGGGATGCAACTTCAGCGAAACAGACCTTGATCTTCAAGGCCAGAAGGTAATAATAATGTACAATTCTGGACTGGCCTCCAATCTTTCAAGCTCTTTTCAATCTCAAGAGATTTAAGATTGAGATCTGCTTATGCTCAACCCTTCTCATTATGCTATAGAACTTGCATATCCAGATGTCAAATCCATGTTTTGTCAATGTATGTTGCTGTTTTGTTGACTAGTAAGCATACCTATATCAATAGAAGTAACAAGTCACTGTAAGGCCTGGTTGATAAATATTCTGCTTCTGTTCAGGAAACTATGTCAAAGTATATTTCTCTGGAGACCATGAAGCCCTTTAGACCTTCAGCCATTCCAGATGTAAAGCTGGAAGATCATGACAAAATAGTCATATTAAAATGAAAGAAATGTAAATTTTTGTTGAATTTATATGCCACAATTTACCATGTGATTTAAAATATACGTATCGCTTATTATGTTCTAATGATGTCAAAAATTCCAAAAAAAAATGATGCAAAATTTAAACTCTCACAGTTTCATACCGACCTGCAACCAGCAACATGGTTCATATACATACCAATGATTATGGCATTTCCCCTTAGATTAGAAGTCAATCAACTGTGTTCTGCAGTTACGATGAAGATTGTCAGGGTTTAAATCAACGATTTGTAGTAGGGTTGGAGAGAAGATTGACACAATTCTCTAGTTAGTTGAAAGTTGCCAGACTTTTAAGTAAACCTTCCAATCAGCACCTGTGTTAGGGGACACATAGTAAATAGACTAGTATTACACTTGCTATTACTAATAAAACATTTACAAAAATTAAACAGATGTATTCATTCGATTCAATTATGATAAAAAGCCATCGGTATCAATCAATTGGCATAAAATCATTCAGCAATTGGACCCAAAAAATGCCATATGAAATGCATTTCAAGGTAGATAATTCGAGAATCATATCAAAGTAAGATTTGTACTCATAATCAGCACAGCTGACTCAGAAATAGATCATTCCAGATCCCATTTCAGCTAAGTCAGGGGAATCTTGGCTTGGCAACTGCAAATGTTGAGATTTTTTTACTTTTGGTTCTTTAGTGTAAGAGAATTCAGTTTAAAGCTTGACCTGTCCAGCCCAACTTGGCCTAGCTAGATGAAACCAGTCTTACAACCGCAATTTAGTCATGATCATAAAGTCAGCACACATTTGACAATGAACTTATTCTAGTTTGCCATTGATTAGTTATTATGATAATTGCACATAGTTGATGGTGAGTAAGTGACAGGCGTTTATAATTACCAAAAAAATTAAAAGAGACAAGAGGAGTAGAAAATAACAGTGTGATGCAGCCATATAACTCTTTGTTATGTAGTTTCAGCAATTTTAAACTTCCATGTGAAGGGATGAATCTCAAGTTTCATGTTATTGGAACATGCAGATTCATTTAGAGTGCACATCCTTGCCCCCAAAATGATAAGAAAATGATTTTCATGTCAGTCACTCATCCTCAGAAGTGGACACCAGATTGACCAGGAATTTCAAAGAGCATGCTCATCCATGTTGCTGAAGCATGTGTCGTTGGCAGTCAGAATGCTATATTCCTGCTTCATTAGACCAAGCAATGTTCCTAATATAGTGTAGATGTCTAAAGTTTTAGGGTGAGATCTATCACTTGAGCCAAACACATTAACAGCACCAGCAATCTCCATCCAGCTACAACCAGGAATTTTGTAAGCACAGTGTCCTGTCATCATGTTTCGCACACTTGCCACATCTAACCATCTCCCTTTATAAGCATACATGTTAGAGAGAAGAGTATAATTCACAGGTTTGTTGGGCTCCAAGACAACAAGCTTTTCTGCTGCCCACTTGGCCAACTTTATGTTGCCATGGATATTACATGCCCCTATGAATGCTCCCAAAGTGTCCGGTGTACATGCAATGGGATTAGATGTTAAAACATTGAAACCCTCATCAAGAAGACCAGCTCGACCAAGAAGATCAACGAGACAAGTATAGTGCTCTGAATCTGGAATAATTTGATAGTCATTCATCATTATGTTGAAATAATGAAGCCCCTCACTCACTAGCCCTCCGTGGCTACAGGCAGAAAGAATCCCAATAAAGGCAATCTGATCTGGCCTTACACTAGTGGCTAACATTTTGTCAAAAATTTTAATACTTTGTTTTGAAAGACCATGGAATGCATACGCACCCATAATCGATGTCCATGTAACTAGATCAGGCTCTGCAACTGAAACAAAACATTGAAATGCCGCATCTATGCTACCACATTTGGAGTATGCATTTATTAAAGCATTTGCAACTGATAAGAAGGACTCAAACCCATTTTTAACCACATAAGCATGGACTGGCCCCATTTCACTAGAGGTGGATACAATACCACATGAGCTAAGTATGCTTGACAAAGTTAGTTCATCTGGACTGAAATTTTGAAGCTTCATTTCTCTGAGAAGTTCCACAGCCTTTTCCACATCTCCATTCCTCCCATAACCTACAATCATAGTATTCCAAGACACAACATTTCTAGCAGTCATCCCATCGAAAGCCTTTCGAGCATCATCTAAGTTTCCACTCTTTACATACATATCAACAAGTGCACTCACCACAGGAACATCTAAATTAAAACAAAGTTTAACAATAAGACCATGAACCTGACTCCCGAACTCATATAACCCCCAAGTCCCGCATGAATTAAGCAATGAACAAAACGTATAACCATCCCCTTTAACACCTTCCTTCTTCATCAAATCAAAAACCTCAAAAGCCTCTTCTGTTAAAGCATTTGAAGCGTAACAAGAAACCATCACATTCCACAAGACCAAATCTCTATAAAGCACTTGATCGAAAACCCGTCTGGCTTCTTCAACTAGACCACATTTCCCATATAAATCAACAAGAGCACCACTCACAAAGCAATCAAATAAGATCCCCGATTTCACGATAAAACAATGTAATCCTCTACCAAAAACGATGCCATTTAGCTCAATGGAAGCACGAAGCAAACCGCTCAAAGTTATATGATCAAAACCTACGTTGTTTATCAACATTTTCTTAAAATAAGAAAAACCCAGATTAAGACTACACTTAGAAATCATCGTGTTCCACGTCACCAAGTTTCTAACACGCATTTCATCGAACACCTTCTCTGCGTCGGAAAAATGCTTGGATTTGACGTAAAAGTTTAGCATTTGGTTTTGCCAAGAGAGTACGTTATTCAATCCTAACTTTATTATGTGCGAATGTAGTAGTTGTTTCCCTTCCTGAAGGAGACCCATTTTGTATGAGAATTTGAGGGCATGGGAGTAGAAGCGAGTCGACTCGGAATGCAGTGTCGAGTTTCTGAGTGTACTCAATGGTAGAGATCGATTGGGATTCGTGGCGCGTAATTGGTTGGTTTTTTGAGGGAGGGTTGGTGAAGATGATAACTGTCGTTTGAAATGGACGGTGGAGATCGAAGGAGTGCTACATTTCAAAGTCATAGGATAAGAGCGTGCGAAGATGACCGTTAAAGGAGGCGGCAGCCGAAATGCAATTTTAATACTTTTAGTAGGTACTTTCTCTTTTGGCTACATTCCAAAAAACTAATGTTTTGCTCCAATTATCTTATTCATTTAAATTTTAAACTATAATATTATCATGAATTTTATACTCCAAATTAGGCGAGATATGCAATTAAACTATGGTTATTTTTCTAGTTTAAGACCCTAAATTTAATTAATCTTTTCCTCTAAAAATTACTATTATAATTTTTGAATATTTTAGGTCTAATTCAGTAATTCTCAAATGGCAACGTTTTCTTGAAAACCTTGTGAGAACCATAACAACATATTACTAGTATTATACAAATATATATACAATATTTTTATAGATTATTGAATAATTTTAAAAAATATAAATGAATCATAATTTTTTTTATTTTTAAATTAAATAAATTTTTATATATTAAAAAAATGAGGTGAATGATAAAAATTACTACATGATTAAATCATAATACCATATCAGGGTCATTATTTATTATAATATATTAATATAATACATAATATTTTAATTAATAATAACTTATAATGATCTATTTTATTTATAATAAAATTATAAAAATTTAATTGAATATAATAAAGAAGTTTTTGAATAGTTTAAAATTTTTTAAAGTATATTAATTGAATAAAAATGTTACTATATATTTTTTAAAAAATTAATATGAGGATGGAGTTGCAATATATAATCAGTTTTTGCTTTTTGTTAATAATTTTTAAATTTTTCATTCGTCATTCCTTACTAAAAAATCGTTTTTTTGGCTTCTAAGATTCTTTTCATACCATGTAGAGACCGGGATTTTGACTTGATTTACGTACAAATACAAAGAAAATTGCTGTGTGGTTTTGCAGCAAAACAAATCATTGCACTCAATTAAAATTAGAATCAAGAAAAGAAAAAAAGAAAAACATTAAATCATGAGAGAACGCTGAGTGGAGCGCGTACTGTTGAAGAAACTATATAACAACAGACAAAAATCCAAGGAAAAAACAAAAGGAAGAGGAAGAAAAGAAAAAGAAGAAACCAAAAGCTTTCTCAGAACCCTCTTCTCACTTTCTTTGCACTCTTTCGGGTTGGAATTTCGGCTTGAATTCTCCGCCTCGTCTCCTCTCCGCCGCCGCCGCTCTAAAAAGGTTAAATTTTTACTATTTTTTTTTCTTCACCGATGAACTATTTTTACATTTCATTAGAAAATATTTCTGTTTTCCTCTGCTACATGTCACTTTCCCCTTTTCTGTCCCAGAATTCTCGAATTAGGGTTTATGAAACTGATACGCCTTCCATTTTTGTTTCATTTGTATTTGGATTTTTTCGTCTTTATTGATATTCCTGTTACTTTGTGATTAATTTCGGATTTTTTGCATCTGAACTGTTTTTGCGATGTGGTTTTAACTTTTAAGGTGTTTTAATTAGCTTGTGATAATTATATTTGGATTTTTTTTTTTGAAGCTAACGTTTGAAAGTTGTAAATTATTTGTGAAAAGGTTTGTGATTTTTAGGTCTTTAGTGTCTGGTTTATGGTGATTTTTGGACTTCTGATTTTCCATTTTTAGATAATGTGGCACTAAGAGGCTTAATTTAGTATTTTCTAGCTTATAACGAACTGATTTTTGTTTTCATTTAAAAGAATTTCTTCCAAAGACCATGCTCTCTATAAGTGGCATCATTCCATATCTGTTTGTTTTCATTCTCGAGTTGTACATTGTATGCTAATGCATGCATCTGTAATTTGTGCTGTTAGATAGTAATACATGCACTGGTGCTTTTGTGAAGGTGCTTACTTGTTTTTTCCTTGTATCTAAAGGCTCAGTAAAATGATAATTGTTTGAGATTTGTATATAATTTGCCTATATTCGGGTGTCGTTTATTTGTTGGTATTCCAACTTATGTTCAAATTACTGGTTGGTTATGGTTAGTGTACATATAGTTACTTTTTCTTGTCCATGCTTCTCAAAGCATAATTCTCTTTTGTTAGTATGTTACATGTTTTTTTCTTGGCTTGTAAGTTGATTTTTGTCCCTTTATGTTTAAACCTGTGATATTCTACATGTCCTTTGATGTCAAATGACAGGGGAAAATGTACCAAGCTCCATCTGCATTGGGTGGATGACAAAGAAAACTGTGCGACATGGGAGGTTGCTGTTGTTCTTCCAGGAAACCTCATCTGCATGGGACGCCTGTATATTACTATGTTAGTAATATGCTCATCCTATTATATATCTCTAATGTCTTTAGTATCTTAGTATGACTCCTTCTTCATACTTGAGAATGAAAGTTGTTTATTTGGAATATTGGAAGTACTCACTCACCATTATCCACAATAATAGGTGGGAAAAGGAATGGAAAAGGAAGAAGCAAAGAAGAATGAATGAAGATATTTTGAACTACCCTTAATTCACTATTTTTTGTAATTGATTATTTAATGAAAATTTTATTCTTCTTAAATCCCTTTCATTCCTTCTTCCTTCACTTGAACTGGTTGTAGAACCTGTGATCTGCAACTGATCTTTTGGCTGACTAACATTGGGAGCTTTTTAATGACTCAAGGATTTTCTGTCAAAAGGCAGAAGCTCGATTGCTGTTCTGTCATCTCCTTGTTGTTAGGTGCAAACTGAAAAGTGATGTCTGTGTGTATGCATGCTCAAATTTGTGGAAACAGTTGTTGTACTTTTCTGTTTCAACTTGTTTGAATATTTATTGTATTTTTTTTAAAATATTGATGATAGAGCAAATAAATTATATTTGGTATCTGAATCTAATAATCCCCCATACATGAGAACTTCCTCTGCTAAATACCATAAAAAAACTCATGCACAAGAGAGTGTTTACGTGTGTGAGGATGGAGCTTTTGTGTTGTTTGTTTACATGGCCACTAGGCTAATAGAAGCTTACCTAGTAATTTCTAATTTGTTTAGGTGGAGATCTCTTTTTATCTACTATCTTGATGTAAGGGTCCATGAGAATCTCTGTCTATTATGTATCATTCTTTGAATTTTAAAACCCCTTTCCACAGTGTCCACCAGCTTTGGAAGAGAATGACTCCTTAACACCTCATGATGGGTCAGCCTCTGCAATGGCTGCAGGACTGCTGGTTAATTTGGATCTAGAAGTACCTGACACATTTAGGCCCCCTCCAGCACCTTTGCCATATGATGTGGTCTTGGGATGTCCCCAGTCAACCGATTCAGAGTCTTTCAGAGAAACTATCAGTGGGGGTAGTTTTGAGACACTGCCGATGTGTGAAGATCTTGAGGAATCAGACTGCAAAACACAGTCTAGTTCTTTGCTTCTTTCACCAAGAAAATTAGAAGTCTCAAAATTAACTGCACCTAAGGAATTATTGACAGAGGAAGAGGATGCCTGTCCCATTTGTCTTGAAGGTACTGTACTCTCATTGTCTAAGGCATTTATTGCTAGTAGTGCAAGTCTGCAATATCTAAACACCATGTTTGCCGGTGACTGTTTAGTGTACGTTAAAAGTAATCTCAATTTCCTTGTTAATTTAACATCTTTAGCTGCTCATAAGTGATTGCTTGTCTGTTATGGTATATGCACATACAGAGTATGACTCAGAGAATCCAAAACTTATCACAAAATGTGAACATCATTTTCACCTCTCATGCATTTTGGAGTGGATGGAAAGAAGTGACACCTGCCCCATATGCGATCAGGTTTGCCTTTTTCAAGTTGCTATTAATTGTAGCTGACTACCCTGCACAGGTTTAACCTCGTTGTGCAGGAATTAACTTGGGATGAGATTTAGATTCATACTTGTTGGATGCAATTTACTGTACCAATGATACGGACTTAAATTTAATCTGTCCTGCAGGGTGGTTCAAGTACTTAGGCTTTGCTACTTGGAGCCATATTACTTAAAAAAAAAAAAAAATAGCATAATAGTTAAATCATAAATCATATGAGTCTGCAGTGTCTGTTAATTCCCTGTGCCAAATCTTGCACTTTGCATCACCTTGCAGGTTGAATATGTTTATGCCTAAGTCTACAAACTAGTTATGTCTTCTACTTTTTTAATGTTACAGGAAATGATATTTGACCAGACTTTTGATCAATAACTCTTTATTCAAGATGGAATTGCTTTGTTGTTTGAGAGCATAGCTTGCCACTCAGGGTGCTGCAGATGCATGTTAGTTCTTGGTTGCAGCTGGTCAGATGGTGCCCAAAAATTGAATTTTACCTAAGTTTTTTACTTATATAAAAGGTTGCGTGTATTCAAGCTGTCAATGTTGTTGTCAATTCTTCAAGGTTACGAGAGTAAAGAATCAAGTTGACACGATCTGACAACACAGCTCGGGACGTTAATGCTCCTCTTCTGTGGTTAAATATTTCGTCATCAGTTGTCAGATCAGTGGGGGAATGATGGTGCAAACTACAAGGTCATTGGAGGGATCAGAATCAGATGCAATGGAGGTTTGTTTGCAAAACAGAATGAGCAATTGTTAGTCTGCCTTGCTTCATTTGATGATAATCTAAGTTTTACTTGTACAGATTTTCATCTTATTTTTGCTTCTCTTCTCTACTTTTAAAATTGAATGCTGTATGCTGCTTATACTCGTATTCCTTTTTGGCCCTTCCTTTTGGAATGGTTTTGTAAATCACATCTGTTTTCCTATTTAGATGGATTTGTGATGGAGGATGTTTTTTCAATGTATTAAAAGCAAGGACTGATAGGAATGGTTAATGGAAATATATACCAGGTCATATGAATATATAGATCAAGCACTTTTGTCTTTATTTCTAATTTGTTCTTGTACCCAGCGTCGGTTTCTTGTGGTTCAGCATGAGATAATGTATGATCCAAGATAATCATGTCCACCATGTGGCTTGTCTCTTTACAATAACAGATTTACATTATTTATTCATTTATTACCTTCTTTTTCTCTAGCCCTTTTAATTCTGCAATCATTCCCCATCATCCTGCCTCATTACTCTTTGATTTTGCATCAACATTGGAGGTGGAAATTCCAAAATTTTCTTAAGATAATAACTAGCTTGACGCAGTATAGCATTCTAGAACTTGTGGTAGAATTATAACTAGACTTTCTTTCCAAAATGGTTATGCGTCAGATTCAATGTTAGTTTAAACTTTGATATCAAAAAACAAAAAAGGGGAGAAAGTCCATGCCTAATTTTTGGCAGATTGGGAGACCATTTTGCAACCACCAGGAAAAAATAATGGATTTCGTCAAACTAAAGCAGCTAGGTCCTTTCAATGCTCAACTTGCGCACCATTTTCTTTCAAAGCCTTTGTTTTTAAACCCCATGAAAATGACTCCATGTAAACTACAGCCAGAATTAATGAGTGCTGTATGCTTTAAAATTGAATTAATCTTCTCAAATGACACGATTTCACTTTTCATCATAACAAGTCAATATATTACTTCAATTAATTATTTATTAATTATAGTAATTTATTTGATTTAAAATAAAAAAATTATAAAAATTTAATTAAATAAATTAAAAAATATTTATTTAAAGTTTTTTAAATAATTTTTTTAAAAAAAATAAAATATCACCTCAAAAAGAAAAAACAACTCCATTTGAAATTCAAAACAACATTTTCATTTGATACAGCTAATACTACTAACCAGCAATGAGCATAGGTGGGCCAGCACAAAGTGGGATCCAAGGCAAGTCCAACACCATGCCCCTTGACCCTGGGCCTCAACCATCTAATCTACCTGAATTTGGAAAGTTCATATAAAACCTAATTATTTTTTTAATTAAAAATCCAGAAATTTTGACTTCATATTAAGTAGTAAAAGTAGTAGGAATATGGCTTTGCCCAAACAATGTATTAACTAAACTTAACGTATTAAAACAAAGAGCCTTGATTTAAATGGAAAAAAAATTAATATTAATCTCGATTGAATATATGTAATTATGTTAAGTACCCTTTGTGATAGAACCAAGTATTAGTATAAACTATGATGGAGAAAGAAGTGGCAAAACCCAGGAGAAAGGTCAAACGAAGGAGTAGTGGGGTTTGAATTATAAAATGTTTGGGCCAATCTGATTTGACCACATCCTCCCTCGGATGGGGTCTTTCCTGTCCTCCTCGGTTCACCTTCACTTAAATCCAAAAAGGCCACCTCAGCCGCATGCCTCAAGGCTCTAGAGCAGAGTTTTCTCATACTCAATTCCTTTTTTCCACGTATTTTAGGATTTCTTTTCGGTTTGCATTTAGCAGCTCCTTGTTGAAAACGGAGGACCCCGTGAGTGGACTTCGCCACATTTGTCTGCCATAACAATCACTCTCTCTTGGACTTTTTCCTTCACCTGCTTTTTTACCAAGATGCCCCTCCTCCTACTCCTTAATGAAACAACCCAAATTAATGCCACTTCATATCCATCTTTTCTCTCAGATTTTTCACGTAAATGTGATTCTCATGCTTCTTGTTTTTATCTACATTTCACTTTTAAAGATTGGGTTTTTAGTTTATATCCATTGGATTCAATTATTAGAGAGCAAAAAGGCCAGAAATGATGTGTACCAAGTGAAAAACCAGCAGGTCAGATTGCTAGGATTGCATCATGTTTGTCGTGGACTAAATTTTAAGAATCATGTAAAAGTAGAACTGTGATTAGGAGAGTACTAATATGGTAATTTCCTGAATAGTTCCGAAAAGTTTTCATCGTTTTTGGGTTGTGTCCGTGAATGGCAGCTTTTGCAGATTTCTATAAGAATCCTCGCTTTACCTTTTCTCAGTTTCTCTCTCTGTCTTCCACTTGAATAGCACTTACAGGGTGCGTTGCTTGCTTAGTTTGCTTCAATAATTTTCTAGATTCCAAGTTTCCATGTCACCTTACAAAAAGAAACCGTCAGACCAAAAGTCCAAACCAAACCAAACCAAACCAAATCATAGACGATAAGAGAACACCATCTCTCTCCACCGAAACCTCTGATTGAGATGTCATTACTCACTACTTCCCCTTCTTTCATGTCTTCTCTTTCCTTCCTTCTCTTCATCCTACTCCTTTCAGTTCACACCCAACATGCAAGCTTTGTAGCCAAATCTCCACTAAATGAGCATTTGTCAGAATACCGCATTGGCAGTTCTTCTGAATTTCCCATTTCACATAAAGAAACATTCAGAATCCATTCTAAAGCCAGGAAATTGAAGTCCGCCAATGTTATCATCAGAGGAAACGAAACCATTCAAAGTGTTAAACGCACTTTCGAGCTGGGTTTCTTTAGCACAAACGGGGAATCCAATTGGTATTTAGGAATCTGGTACGCCATCCCTACTCAAACGCGCGTTTGGGTTGCCAATCGTGAAAACCCCATCAAAAATATCTCCCAATCTTCATTAGAAATCACTGAAACAGGGCAGTTAGCAGTAAAGGAGTCGCCAGATTCAATCGTTTGGCAGAGCACAAACACGGAAAAAGCAAAAAAATTCGATCTTTTAGAGAGTGGAAATCTGGTGCTATATTCATCAGAAGGTTCAAAAATATGGCAAAGCTTTGATCATCCAACAGATACGTGGCTCCCAGGGATGAACATCACCACCCAACGATCTTTAACCTCTTGGAAAAGCTTGTTTGACCCATCTCCAGGACACTTCTCTTTAAGGCTAAAACCCCAAGAGTTCAACGAGTTTCAGCTAGTTTACAATTCAACCAATGTGTATTGGTCTACAGGGAACTGGACTGGGGCAGCTTTTGCCAATGTGCCAGAAATGACAATCCGTTATATTTACAAGTTCCATTTCTCTGACCCTTACTTGCCGACGGCGTCGTTTTGGTACACTGAAAGAGCGCTGGATAACGGGTTGGAACCGCCTTTGACGAGGTTTCAGGTTGATGTTAACGGGCAGCTGAAGCAATTCACGTGGTCATCACAGACCGACAATTGGAACATGTTTTGGTCAGAACCAGAGGATAAGTGCAAAGTTTACGGTTTGTGCGGTTTTTTTGGGTCTTGTGTAAGTACATCTTTAAAACCTTGTGTTTGTCTTAATGGTTTTAGGCCTGTGGATGATGAGGGTTGGAAATCTGAGGATTTTACTAGTGGTTGCAGACGAGAAAGTGATGACTTTTGTAAGGATAAAGATGGATTTGAGGAAGTTGGTGATGTAGGGTTTCATGGAGGAACTACGGTGTCGTTTCAAGGTAGTAGGAGTTCTTGTGAGAAGTCTTGTTTGAGTAATTGCTCTTGTATTGGGTTGTATCATAATGGGAGGAGTAATCTGTGTAAGAATGTGTATGGGTCCTTGTTGAATTTGAGAAATTTGAGCTCTGATGGTTTGAATGAGGAAGTGTTTTACATTAGGGTGCCAAAAGAAGGAATTGCAAAAGAAAATGTGTCTAAAACTATGGTGTTGGTTGGTAGCATTGTTGGGTCTATTGCAGCTTTTGGGTTCATGGGGGTGATTTTGTTGGTTTTGAAAAGGAGAAGAGAGAACAAGAAGGGGAAGGATGATGATGGTGTTTTTCCAGGGTTGAATATGAAGGTATTCACTTACAAAGAGCTTAATAGTGTGACTCGTGGATTTTCAGAAAAACTGGGGCATGGTGGATTTGGTGCGGTGTTTCGAGGTGAGTTATCAGATTCTACTCCTGTTGCTGTTAAACGCCTTGAAAGGCCAGGGAGTGGTGAGAAAGAGTTCCGGGCGGAGGTGTGCACAATTGGCAACATTCAACATGTCAATCTTGTGAGACTCAGAGGGTTTTGCTCTGAGAATTCTCGTAGATTATTAGTTTATGATTACATGCCCAATGGTCCTCTGAGTGCATACTTACGCCGAGATGGTCCTAATTTGTGCTGGGATGTTAGATTCCGGGTGGCAGTTGGCACTGCAAGAGGTATAGCATATTTACATGAGGAATGTAGGGACTGCATCATCCATTGTGATATCAAACCCGAAAACATTCTCTTGGATGGTGATTACATGGCTAAGGTATCAGATTTTGGATTGGCAAAGCTAGTTGGCAGGGATTTTAGCAGGGTATTAGCCACAATGAGGGGTACTTGGGGCTATGTTGCCCCAGAATGGATATCTGGTCTGGCAATTACACCAAAAGCCGATGTTTATAGTTATGGGATGACATTGTTGGAACTAATTGGTGGCCGCAGAAATGTTGAGGCACCACAATCTGCAGGAAATGCCAATGTTTATGGTGAGGGAGGGTATGGGGAGAAGTGGTTTTTCCCTCCATGGGCGGCACGCCAAATAATTGAGGGCAATGTGGCTGCAATTGTGGACAGTAGGCTTGGTGTCGCTTATAACGTTGAGGAGGCTCAGCGCCTTGCATTGGTAGCAATCTGGTGCATACAAGATGACGAGGAAGCAAGGCCTACAATGGGGATGGTAGTGAAGATGTTAGAGGGAGTGGTGGAAGTGGCCATTCCTCCACCACCAAAACTGATACAGGCACTAGTTGCTGGGGAGTCTTATCGTGGTGTTAGAATGGATTCTGGCATGTCTACAGCTGGCGGATGCTCCGACTACAACGTTGGATTTTCAAGTGCTGGTTCACGGTCATCTCTTGGTAATCTCTCTTCCCCTTTGGATGACAATTTGAATGTATAATTGACAAGATTATTGATGATAACCGACCAAAGTTGTATACAATGTCATTCCTCTCTTCCAATGTTTTTTACATTAGCCTGGATTTGACTCGCAGAGAGCCAATTTTCTGTTCATTTTGTCTAAAGCGCATTATAAATGGGAGTTTTTTTTTATTGTAACATATGCCTGGATTTGGGTCGGGAACCTGTTGTAACTAGTTGTGGACACTTGTTTTGTTGGTCTTGCCTCTACCGATGGTTGCATGTGCATTCAGATGCAAAGGAATGTCCTGTCAGCGAAGGAGAGGTGACAATTAAAACTCTGACCCCAATTTATGGTCGGGTGAACATTACCCATGAGCCAGAAAGATCACTCCTCGGCCCACTGCACGGCTGATGGACAGTCGGAGGGAAACTATTCAAAGGACTGCTTTAAATCTCCCAGTGGAGGAGATGATTCGCCATCTTGGAAGCAGATTTGATTTGACCCCTGACCTGACTCCACCACAGGAGGCCAATGGTGCGCGGGAAACTACAGAAAGAACTAATTCCATCATTAACAGTATTTTGACATCTCGAGGAGAGCAAAGTACAGGTGTGTCCCTTGATGATGTTGACTTGACACCTAGCAGCACAACTGGTAATGAGGTTATGTCCTTCCGGATTCATTCTTTGTATCTGCAAAGACAATCACAAATTCGAGGAGCTGCAAGATTTACTTCTCTGACATCTGCACTGAGTTCAGCAGAAAGGTTAGCTGAGGCATATTTTCGAAGCAACCCGGTGGGAAGAAATCAGGAGCAGCCACCCCCAGTTGATGATAGAGATTCTTCTCAAACATTGCTGCTGTAATAAACTCGGAGAGTCAAATGGACACTGCTGTCGAAATAGACTCTGTGGTGTCGCTTTCAGCTTCATCTTCTTGAAGAAGAAACGATGCTTCGAGGGTTTCAGATGTTGACACTGGTGACTCTCGTGCACAAAGAAGGGGACGACTGAACTAGGAACTGGACAGATTTATGATTTCGACGAGGGTGATCATAAAGCTTTCAAATATATTGTGCTCGCATTGTATATGTGAATTGAAATGTTATTATCCTTTCCTAAGGTTCCGTCCTTGATGTTGTCTGGCAAAACAAATTTGCACGGAGCTAGTAGACCCATCTTTACTCTCGCTGTACATAACCATGCAAGCCTCATATATCTGATTATCTTTGCTCTCAAAAAAATTAAATTCCCATAAAAGGGTTGGCAGGGTGTTTGGGGTCATAGGGTTATGATTACAGCTTTGACATTCCCCAAAGGTAGATACGAAGGACAATGTCCCATCAACATTTCACCCAAAAAGCAACTTGCTTTAGCTTTTCAGCCACTGCGGCTTGAAGAGGCATGGTCTTCTTTTTGACTCTCTCTAGCGGGAAATGAACAGAAGAAAATACTATTGTCTTCGCAGTTCTTTTATATGACTCGACAACTGTAGGCGCTCATGGTTGATCTCTGGAGAAACCTTGGCAATGTTGAAATGTAGTTGGATTGGGCTCAGCTTCATACAACGCAAGTTTCTTTGTCTGAACCCAAAGAAGCTCTCAGCCCACACGTTTCAAGCCCTTCGACCCGAAATTTTTAGATATGAAATATTATCCATGATAGATAAAGTGAGGTTTGGGGACCATAATGCTCGTGTTCTTAACATATAGCTGGGAAGCAAAAGCCATCACCTTCAAATCAAGATATGCCACCAAAGGGAATTCACCCATGTGGACAGCTTTAATTTCATGGATTGGGCAGCACCAGATCCGGAACCCTTAGAGCAAAAACAGAAACTAACTGTATTAACTGTTAACAAACGTATTGAATAATGCTTGTCCTGAGGCTTGAGAGGTTAAGACTCAGTCAACTCCCCTCCCTCTCTCTCATGTTTGAAGCTGGTTTCTTCCATGGTCATCCTAGTTTATAGCCAAAATCAACCATTGCTAAAACCCTTGTATATACTTCCACAAAAAATAAAAACCAATTGCAAATATAAATTTAAACAAAAAAAAAAGGGTATTAAAATTTTCTTCATATTGACTCATTTCAAAGGATCAAAGAAAAAACCAGAAGAATCAAAAGGGTTCATTAAAAGTGTGGCAAAATTGCGAATACAAAAGAGTATGAGCTGCAAAATGCAGCGGAGAAAATCAATCCATCCTCTGCCGGATCGTCACCTACAGTGAAACTTATGGAGAATCAACTGAACAGCACAGCACCATTGATCTCCAACTTGGAATCCGCCGAACTCCACCCTGCACCTTCAAGTTTAATTAGTGAGGGAGGAGACTATCCTCCTATACAAAGTTTTGAAGATGCGAAGAACATATGTTTCATTGAGTCCTCCAAGCTATGGGCAATTGCTGCTCCTATTGCATTCAATATTTGGTGCAATTATGGAATTAACTCGTTTACCAATATATTCGTTGGCCATATTGGAGACATCGAGCTTTCGGCTGTTGCCATTGCTTTATCTGTCGTAGCAAACTTCTCTTTTGGCTTCATGGTTAGCTTCTCTAACATTCTGCGGTTTTAATTTGCTTCTTCATTTGAGGAATAACAAATCCATTGAAAATTTTCCTGATTTCTTCCGCAAATAATGCAAGATTCTTGACTACCAATCTTTTCTCTGTTCGTTAAACTGCAGCTTGGGATGGCGAGTGCACTAGAGACGCTGTGTGGGCAGGCATTTGGTGCAGGACAAATAGACTTACTTGGTGTATACATGCAGCGATCATGGATAATCCTATTTGGAGCCTGCTTTGCCCTGTTGCCTCTCTACCTGTACGCCACACCAATCCTAAAACTCCTCGGGCAAGAGCATGACATTGCAGACCTAGCTGGAGAATTCACGATGCAAGTTTTGCCTCAAATGTTCTCATTAGCCATCAATTTTCCAACCCAAAAGTTCCTACAGGCACAGAGCAAGGTTGGAATCTTAGCGTGGATAGGTTTGGTGGCCTTACTCGGACATATTGTGATAATTTATCTATTTGTCAATGTGTTCAAGTGGGGCACTGCTGGTGCCGCTGCCGCTTATGATATCTCAGCTTGGGGGATTTCTGTGGCTCAAGTCGTTTATGTGGTAGGTTGGTGCAAGGAGGGTTGGACCGGATTGTCTTGGTTAGCCTTCAAGGATCTTTGGGGTTTTGTCAAACTTTCTGTAGCGTCAGCTGTGATGCTTTGCTTAGAGATTTGGTATTTCATGATGATAATTGTTCTCACCGGTCACCTTGAAGATCCTGTCATAGCAGTTGGGTCTCTTTCTATCTGGTGAGACCACGTCACTAGTCTGAATCTCTCAATTCTGCCCTCTTTCTTCCTTTTTTCTATAATTGAGTTTAATCCCATTATGTGTTTCAGCATGAACATTAACGGCTGGGAAGGCATGTTATTTATAGGAATAAACGCTGCTATAAGGTAACAAAAAGATTTGGTAATTCATTATGATCTTGTTTGCCTTTTGTTGTACTGACGTTGATGTTGACGCTGGTTGCTTTTTACAGTGTTAGAGTCTCCAATGAGCTTGGATCGGCACATCCTAGAGCCGCAAAGTATTCTGTAGTTGTCACCGTTGTAGAATCTCTTCTTATAGGAATACTTTCTGCAGTCATCATCCTGGCAACTAGAAACAAATTTTCCATCATCTTTACAGATAGTAAAGAGATGCAAAGGGCCGTGGCACATTTAGCTCATCTTCTTGGCATAACCATGGTGCTAAACAGTGTCCAGCCAGTTATATCAGGTGAGCAAGTAAACCCACCCAAAAACCAAGGAAAAACAAATTGGATTTCAGGAAATAATCGTTCTGTTATTGCAGGTGTTGCTGTGGGAGGAGGTTGGCAAGCCTTGGTAGCTTATATAAACTTGTTCTGTTATTACATCATTGGTCTCCCCTTTGGGTTTCTTCTCGGTTATCACTTCCAATTTGGAGTGGAGGTAAAGTACCATGCTCTTCTCTCTCATTTCTTAATTATAAATATTCATTTCACAGATGGATTAAACAGACAAGTGAGTGTACTCATTTAACAATTCGATTTTATAATAATTTATCAGCAATTATCATGAAATATCATACATCAATCCTAAGGGTGCAAACCCACATTTCTTCCCTCCTCTTTTTGCCATTTATCATCTGTATGTCAATGTTGCAGGGCATTTGGGTGGGAATGATATTTGGGACTTTCTTGCAGACATTAATCCTCTTGTTTATTACCTACAAAACCAACTGGAACTCAGAGGTGAGGAGACACTGTTGCAAACATGAATGACATTCATGTGCTTTATAAAATCTAAAAATTGAATCATCAAATTGAGAATGTCATTGCAGGTTGAACAGGCATCTGAAAGAATGCGGCAATGGGGAGCAGAGCTCAACGACGATCATGGATCTAACCTTACCAACTAAAAAATTGGGCCTTTTTTTTCTTCTTTTGCCTTGCCTGGACCTGCTTTGGACAATTTTTGTACTCCTAGAAATGCCTAAGTACTTAGGCATTTTGCTTTTGCTTTTTTGTTTTTTTTTTTTTATTTCTTTCTTTGGGAGCAAAGTATAGTTTCTCTTAGCCGAAGAAGAGTACATGCCAACATGTACCGCTAGCTTGTCTAGACTAATATGTTAGAAAACAAAAAATTGTACACTAAACTGAAGATTAAGACAGCAATTTGTATAAATAGAATAATGTAATCAAATTATGTAATCATTAATTGTCGTGTTGATTTTTTTTGTTAATTTATAATAGAATAAAAGATAAATTTCCCTTGCACTTTTGTAATTTTAATTTTTTTACATAATGTTTCATGATATTGTTTTTGTAATTAACACATTGTAGATATTTTTTTTTCATTGGTAATTTATGAATAACTTGTTATTTTCACAATAAGTTAGATTGTTAATTTTACTAAAAAAATAATAAATATAAATTTAAAATATAAATTAATTAATTAATTTTAAATTAAAAATAGTGTAATAATTTTACTGAACAAAATTTACCGCTAAAAGTTATCCGCGAATCATGTAAAATAAAAAGTTTAAATCACAATAAGTATTAAACAAAGCCCCCGTTACTGTTTATTTATTAATGAGGTTCAGTTCAATGACGGAGAAAGCCGAATTAAAAAGAATTTGTGGGACCCAGAGACCGTGGCTTGAGTAAGATTCTGATATTAGATTTTCACCCCTATGCTTTGTGTTTATATCTTTTAATGAATTGCATATCGGACCCCGCTGGCATCTTTCTGTAATTATGTTTCGAGCCCCATATTTGGAAGCCTTTAAATTCTAGCCCAAAATTCTTGTTGAAGTTTGACTAAATTATAGAGCCTAAGGTGTTTTCTTGAAAAAGTTAAAAAAAATTATAATAGCCATAGAAACATATACGAAACTAAATATATCAACAACTAGGAGGTTAGGCTAATTATATTAATAATAATAATAAAGGGTATTAATTTGAAAAAGGTCTATCACAATATTAAGTTTTTATTGTGGAGTGCATTTAAATGTAAGCAATACTCTTTAATTAGTAAACTAATTAACTATACTATACTTTATTGTAAACTTAGTTGTCATAATTCAAAGAGAGTAGTTACAAGTAATTTTAGTCAATTTGGATTTGGTCATGCCGCTGCTTTATTCCCTCTTTTGGAGTGTGAACTGTCAAGCATACATATAGATAAGGAGTACATACATCAAAATCTTAATGGCATGTTAATTTCCCTAGTTAGTTTAAGAAAGTTGCTATTAAATAAACCTTTATACTACTGTAAAGCAGGGCGGCTGTTATGGTCTTTCGCCGATTCAAATATAACGATACTAGTGCATA